CCGGGAGAAGCAATAACCTCCCTCCATTCTACTGGCTGGTGGAGTCTGTTCATGCCATTTTGGGGGTGCAGGAGATGGGAAAAACCCAACGTGCCGTCACAGTGACAAAGAACAGACGACAAAGAGAAGATGAGGATGGGAGCGATATGACAATCGACAGTTATGTGCTGACTTTCCAAACCTTAGCTTGGGCCTGACAATTTCTGCTAGCCCTGAGAGCGCATTCTTGATCTTCAATATCACATCACCACCTAGGGGGGCCCTTCTGCAGAGCAGCTGCCCGACTAAAGGGCTGATGCAAAAGGGAAGAAGACTGGAAACGGGTGTCACCAACAGGCCGAGAGACGTTTCCGCTGACAGAACGCCCGGCACCAGGTGGGCTCCCCCCATGTTAACGCCATGGAAGGCGGGTGGGACTCAGCTGTGCACCCAGGTGGGAACTGCGCTAGTTTCAGAAGGGAGTTCTTGTGTCTGAGGCAGTCCAGTTGCCATGCAGCTCACACGGAGCACAACATCTGTGGCAGTACTCCTCACCCTCTGGCTCTTGCAGCATGGGCACCTCTGATGGATGCTCACACCTCTCCGGCACCCCCACTGCCCTCGTCTGCTTTTGTGTCATGCTGACTCCAGCACAGCATGAGGGCATGGTGGTTAGTTGGGGATCACAGACTCCAGGGGTTTGTCTGGGCAGGGTCTTGCTGCTCTGAAGCTTGTTTCGCCTGGAACAATTGTGACCTCCAGTGGGCAGAGTTCTCCATTGCAGGCAGAAGTCCTGTTCTCCAGAATAACATAGCCCACTGCTCCAGTCTGATTGAACCATAGTTAGACAGAAAGACACTCTTGCTACAGCATGTCCCACGCTCAGCCGTACAGAGCAGAGCCTTGTGCTGCTCCGATGCTCAGTGCCAGCCCTTTGGGCCTAGCTTCGGCTTATTTTAAAATCTGCCTTTTGCCAAGGCAGCCTTTGTCCTGTGCACATGACAGAAGGAAGCCCAATGATTCCACAGCTCTCTGCTAATCCGAGTGGCTTTCCGCTGCACAATAGCTGCACAGTCTCAGTGTGACAGGTGATAACAGACAGGGCCGAGCATGTTAATGTGAGCTTTCTCGTTGCAGAATGATTCAAATCAGCGCAAACTCAAGTGTCTGCACTTTCATATCTGGTTTGTTTCGAAGTTGAGTTGCCAGCTTCCCACCCAAGTTTCTGGTGATGTCTGGGAGTCACAGTGCTGTCCACGCTGGAACTTCTGTCAGTGAAGCCTGTGTGGCTCAGAAGCTGTTTTTTCACACCTTGCGCAATGTAGGTTCCAAAGACGCTGGAGAGAGGCTGTTCTCAGTGGGGGCAGGTGGCAGAACGAGGAGCAGTGGGGGAGGTCCAGGTTGGATATTGGGGAAAGCGATTTCCCGAGGCGGGTGGAATCTCGGTCCCTAGGGCTGTTTGAGGCCTGGCCGAGCCCTTGGGATGCTTAGTGGGGCGGACGCCAGGACTGCGGGGGGCTCTGGGGTGACGGGTCCCAAGGACCCTCGAGACCTTTCCCCTCTGCCTGCATGTGACCAAGCGGCTCCAGCCCAGGGTGCCCCGCCTCCAGCTCCCCCAGTCCCAGCACCTGGGGGCTGACGGAGCCGGGCTGGCCCTGGAGCCACGTGCTCCCCAGGAAGGGCAACCCGGCGGGGGAGGGCTGAGCAGGGCTTCACCTATCCATTGCGCACGCGCCTCGCGCCTGCGCCCTGGGTGGCGGGACCGCGTGCGCCTGCGCAGTAGCGGGGTAAGCGCTGTTTGAGTGCCGGCGCGCGGGCCGGAGCCAAGAGCGGGATGCGGCGGG